CTAAATTATGATAAAAAAAATAAAAATGATATCTGGAGACCCGGGTCAGGTGGAGCCAATATCTCCTTTAGTCTTAATGTGGGATTTTTTGCTCAACGGTTTTTCTCCAATGATGGCTTATCTTCGAAAGAAGGTTTGCCTTCAGTGATTATCATCACAGATGGCGTTGTCAAATCGAACCTCGCGCTCATGTTTGATGATGATGACATAATTATGAAGCTGTGTAAGGACGGGATAAGGTGCGACGTAATACAGGTTGGTTCTCGTAAAGGATTTGATCCCGGTGTCAGTTTTGGGTTGCCTTCTGATAACGAAATGTTGCAATTTGTCGCCACGGCAACCTCTGGAGTTTTTCTTCATTCAGATGATTGCCCTGATATACCCGGTGTTGACTCGGGAACATCAGACGAGTGGCGTTCATATAATTTCTATCAGGAAAATATGCTTCTTATAGAGACCACCTTTTCGAAAAAGAATCAGTCAAAATATTCGAATAGTCAAATGGATAACGCCAACACTTATAGTTTTCCATGGGATCCAAGAAGCCAACCGCCTTCTATCAAGCCGCTGACACTGAATTTTCGTGACTATTCCCTATTTTTGGTTGACGTCCAACAGTTGATACTTGCTCGAATGCGTCATGGATTTAGTGTTGATAGTATTTTATTGTTACCCGGAAGAGATGTTAACATCAATTCCGAGAGGATCACTGTTACAATGTCAAGGCTTTGGTCTCCTAATATTTCAATTCAATACAAAATCAAGGCTATCTGGGCGGGTGAAGCTAATGGGCTGTCAAGGTTGAAGCAAGTTAAAGCTGAGATAGGTATACTGTCTGATACCGTATTTGCCATGAATCTTCTCAATTTTCAAATTTCTCGACAAAATCGTGATCCAAATCATCCGCTCTATTGGAGATTCGTGGCTTTATACAATTTCCTTGAATCCATTCGCGAAACTGATGAACTTCTCAAAAAGCACGTGTATTACAGGGCAACCAAAGAAAGTAGT